CCCTCCCCCCTTATGAGCAAATGCTGACATGAAGAAGGTATGTCTACCTGAGTGAAGTTTACTCAATGATTCTCTCCCTCCACTCTCAGCCCATGGGCATCATGTCCATCCTGGAGGAGGAGTGCATGTTCCCCAAGGCCACAGACATGACCTTCAAGGCCAAGCTGTACGACAACCACCTGGGCAAGTCCAACAACTTCCAGAAGCCTCGCAATGTCAAGGGGAAGCAGGAAGCCCACTTCTCTTTGGTGCACTACGCTGGTACCGTGGACTACAACATCATAGGCTGGCTACAGAAGAACAAGGACCCCCTCAATGAGACGGTGGTGGGTTTGTACCAGAAGTCCTCCCTCAAGCTGCTCAGCAATCTCTTCGCCAACTATGCCGGAGCTGATGCACGTGAGTGACCCGGGCGTTAGCATTCTGAGGTTTATGTCTAGTTCTGAGCTACATCAAATTGCAAAACTCCACCCCTTCCCTGTCATGGAATGCCCTGAGGAGGTGAATGGAATAGACTCAGTGAGAGAGAACTGGGTGGAGACACCGACACAGCCACTTCGAAAACCTTGTCTGATAGCCAAAGAGGACAAAATGTGAGGAGAGGCTGTTGGCCTCCATGCCCCGTTCCTGGCCTCCCTACATGCCCCCTAATGCCCCCTTTCTTGGCTTCTTCTCCCACAGCTGTAGACAAGGGCAAAGGCAAGGCAAAGAAAGGCTCATCCTTTCAGACTGTGTCGGCTCTGCACAGGGTGAGTGTGTGTAGAGTCACACCTAGCAGGGTCCCCATCCGTTCACTCCCTCAGCCCCAGCGCCTGCCAACACCAGCTCTCCTCGGTCCTTCCTGACCCTCTTCATGGCTGTGCCTTTGGTCGTCTCGTAGCCTCTACTCTTGCTCCCCGTCTCAGCTCTTCCATTTCTCATCTGCCATCAGCCTCTCCCTCGCCTGTGCTATCCCTGGGAACCCGAAAGCCTCCTCCTTCCTGTATTTCTCCATTCCTTCCTCTCCTCTCCATTTGCTACTGCTCCTTCTTGCTTGCTTTTATTTCTCCCTCTTTTTCTGACACAGGAAAACCTGAACAAACTCATGACAAACTTGCGCTCCACCCATCCGCACTTTGTACGCTGCATCATCCCCAACGAGACAAAGTCTCCAGGTGAGTCCATGAACTTGAGTGAGCCCACACTGGGCACGCACTGTCTCAGAGACAGGACCAAGTACTCTCCAAGCCTTGGTTTCCAAACCATTTTCTTCTCCCAGACTACCCCTCCAGTGTTCCCTTATGCTGGGAATGTATACCAGAGTGATGTGTAAGGCATTTTTATGGCTATCAGCTCATGAGTGACTGAAAGCCCTTAAAGAGGCATATAAGGAATGTCTATCTGTTTTTAAACTGTAGAAAACAAAATATCAGGAAACTTGGGTTGAAATCTGGCTCCGATTTCAATTAGCTCACTGACTTTCTACAAGTCACTTAATCCCTTAGCTCACTCACCCGGAAGATAAGATACATCTGTCCTGGAACCAACCATGAAAATCAGTGTAAATTATATGAAGTGAAAGACACGAAATCTTTTGGTTACTGTTAAAAGCATGGGGGTGGGGGGAGGAAATGAAACAAATAAAGAATTCTTACTGACGGATTGGCTTGCTAAAGTAACTAACTAATGTGTGCCCGAGCCAGGTTGGGAACCCAGGGGACTTGGTGTTTGTCTAGCTCTCTCCCCAATCATTTTTCTCCTCCCTGCTGCCCCAGGGGTGATGGACAACCCTCTGGTCATGCACCAGCTGCGATGCAATGGCGTGCTGGAGGGCATCCGCATCTGCAGGAAGGGCTTCCCCAACAGAATTCTTTATGGGGACTTCCGGCAGAGGTGGGTAAGGGGTGCTCAGGGAGCCAGGGATGGGCTGCTTTGGTGGGAGTGGGGGCCTATGGTCGCCCTGGAATTCTGCAGGCAGAGCAGACCCACACCCACCCAGAACGCAAATAACTCCGAGAACTTCCCTCCCAAGGTACCGCATCCTGAACCCAGCAGCCATCCCTGAGGGCCAATTCATTGATAGCAGGAAAGGGGCTGAGAAGCTGCTGGGCTCCCTGGACATTGACCACAACCAGTACAAGTTTGGTCACACCAAGGTGAGTCTAGAGCTGCAGGGAATGGGTGCAGAGCAGGTAGCCATACTGAGTGCCGCAGCTGAGACGGTTGCATTCCCCACAGTCAGACCCAGGATGCCCAGGTGGTGGGTACCTGCAAGCTCACTGAACAATGTGCCCCCATGCTGGTTCTACCCACCTGCCCACAGGTGTTCTTCAAGGCGGGGCTGCTGGGGCTGCTGGAGGAGATGCGTGATGAGAGGCTGAGCCGCATCATCACCAGAATCCAGGCCCAGTCCCGAGGTGTGCTTTCCAGAATGGAGTTCAAGAAGCTGCTGGAACGCAGGTGAGAGGACTTTAAAGGAGGTGCCCAGACCTCCTGAGGTCCAGGCTAGTTCAGTGACAGTGGGACCATCAGGAAGAAACTGTTAGGAAAGGACCTTATGAACACAAGATGGTCCTTAGTATCCGAAGGCCTCGGGGAGGGTGAGATAGATAAGGAAAAGGGGTTTATCTAGGAACAAGAGTCTTAGATGGGAAGGAACAGGAGTGGTTCTCATGCCGTCCCTCTCACTGTGCCCACAGAGACTCCCTGCTGATTATCCAGTGGAACATCCGGGCCTTCATGGGGGTCAAGAACTGGCCATGGATGAAGCTCTACTTCAAGATCAAGCCGCTGCTGAAGAGCGCAGAGACGGAGAAGGAGATGGCCAACATGAAGGAGGAGTTTGCACGAGTCAAAGATGCACTAGAGAAGTCTGAGGCTCGCCGCAAGGAGCTGGAGGAGAAGATGGTGTCCCTGCTGCAGGAGAAGAACAACCTGCAGCTCCAAGTGCAGGCGGTGAGGCCCCATAGCCACCGTTAGCTCCCCTGCTGCCCCCTCTGTACCGAGGAGTGCACCATCTTGTCCCTCACAGGCTGAGGATTCTGGGAGCACATTTTCAAAAGCCTCCAAACTGATCCCTCAGGAGGAAGAAAAGGCAAAAAGAATCCCCTTTTAAATACACAGGCTTAGTCATGTAAGGTGGTGCACACCTGTTATCCCAGCACTTGGGAGGTGGAGACCAGAGAAGCAGAAGTTCCAGGCTGGCTTTTTTTATAGCGTGAACTCAAGGTCAGCCTGGGCCATAAGAGATCCTGTCTTAAAAATATGTATGCATTTGTACACACACACACACACACACACACACACATACACACAGCGGGGTTCCTAGCGGAAACTGTAAGCCATCTTCGAGCCTAAATTTCTTCATGCTTACACAGAAATTAAGCTACAGGTTCTAGAGGTTAAATTCACAGTGGTTGACGTCAGCAAATGCAATTTCTTCAAGCGAGGAAACTAGAGGAAAAGGCCATGTGAAGACTTCCGATTTCCTCCTCTGCTCCTCCCTCAGTGCTCCCACGCCATACCATCCTAAAAGCCCTCACTGTCCTCCTGAGGCTCTTTTCAGCCGAGAATAAGCCGGGTCCCTCTCCTATCTGGGTGATGCACCTCTCCCTTCTGCCACCTGTGAGGACAGGAACCCATCGTCAGCCCAGCCTCCCTTTCTGTACCTTGACCCCAGGAACAAGACAACCTGGCTGATGCAGAGGAGCGCTGCGACCAGCTGATCAAGAACAAGATCCAGCTGGAGGCCAAGGTGAAGGAGATGACCGAGAGGCTGGAGGACGAGGAAGAGATGAATGCTGAGCTCACGGCCAAGAAACGCAAGCTGGAAGATGAGTGCTCGGAGCTCAAAAGGGACATTGATGACCTGGAGCTGACACTGGCCAAGGTGGAGAAGGAGAAGCACGCCACAGAGAACAAGGTGAGGCCAGCTTCCTCTGGTTCCAAACCACAGTAGTTAGGAGACCACACAGTCGTTCCAAACCACATTGCTGTAGTCTGGAGGGTCTTCTAGGTGTCCCCAGGTGGTGTCATTTGACTTAAGGGGAATGTGGGATTTTTTGTTTGTTTGGCAGGTGAAAAACCTGACAGAGGAGATGGCTGGACTAGATGAGATCATTGTCAAGCTGACCAAGGAGAAGAAAGCTCTGCAAGAGGCCCACCAGCAGGCCCTGGATGACCTGCAGGCTGAGGAAGACAAGGTCAACACTCTGACCAAGGCCAAGGTCAAGCTGGAGCAGCAGGTGGATGACGTAAGTAGACAGGGTGTAATGGGCTTTGATACATCAAAGCATGTCCATCTGCGTTGAGAGGTATGCGTGAGTGTGTGTTTGGGTGAAGGTATTGGAAAGTGTTTATTCTCCTGATATCTTCCCAAAATAAAACTGGGGTATAGGAAGCATGAGGGTTATCAATTTCAAATAATGTATTTAATCTCACTGTTATTTATGATCAATCACAAAGCTAGGCTGTTGGGTTTTTTTAAAAACATAATTAAACTTTAAAGTTTAAAAGTTAAACTCACATAACTCTATCTTTGACCATAGGGTTTAAAGAATTATCTCGTAAGAACATTATATATCTCTTTGGTAAATTGTGAGACTCTTTGAAGAGGATCTTGGCAGAGTCTGATCCTGAACGACCATTGGTCCCTCATATGTGTATATATGTCCATCAATCCCTTATCATTCTGCTCTAATAACCTAAGTATTTGTCTGAGCCGTAGGACTAAGAGCTCCCCTCAGATGGGAACTTGAGTTTGCTCAGTTTTCTGTCTTCAGTACCCCGCCCAGAGCCTGGAACCAGTAGATACTTACAGGATGTTGAATGAATGATTAGAGTTTTGGAATCTTATCCCAATTTCATTCATTCAGAAAATATCTATTGAGCAAACCCTCCGTTCTCAACATTCCCATGGTTACCTGGAAACATTGGTCCTTTCTACGGAAGTTTCCGGAGTCCTGGATTTCCCAAGGATTTCCAAAACGTAGAGTAACAAAACCAAGGTCAGAATGCTATACCTCGTGGTACACAGCTGGCCCTTCTCTCTGCCAGCTGGAGGGATCCCTGGAGCAGGAGAAGAAGGTGCGCATGGACCTGGAGCGAGCCAAGCGGAAGCTGGAGGGTGACCTGAAGCTGACCCAGGAGAGCATCATGGACCTGGAGAATGACAAACAGCAGCTGGATGAGCGACTTAAAAAGTACCGCGTTCCCTCACTGCCATGGTTCCTTCTTTTCACACAACTGTGTGAGCTCACCCAGGAGCCATGCTAAGAGGCAATGGTTGCTCAAACTGAGGGCGAAGATCTACAGGAAGAGTACTTTCCTCTCTAACACACACATTAAGGCCCTGAGGTTCTCCCTGGCAAGGGGTCTTGCTTGGACCCCTCAAGCCCCTTGTTCATGCTAGGCCCTTGGGAAAGGTGAAAATAAAAACATATTTTCTTTGTGAGCAATCAGACAGGGAGGAAGGCTGCACACAAAAGCCTCCCAGGAAAGCCTCCTTTGGGTTTTTCCACAGAAAGGAAATTGAATCACAAAGAAAAGGTTCTGCTGTTAAAAAAAAAAAAAAAAAAAAAAAAAAAAAAAAAAAAAAAAAAAAGGGTTGGGCCATTTCTTTTTTCTAGGTAACTTCTAGTCCCAGTCTTTACTGCAAGACCTTCAAAAGGTGCACACACAGACTTGGTTAATAGTGAGTTGGGAAAACGTATTTTGATATTTGAGGATCTTATCATCCTTCAGCTTGGTTTTGCATAGGAATCTTCACACTTCCCTAGACGCAGAGTTTTAAATTATATGTAAATGTGTGTCTGTGAGTGTAGTGCCCGCAGACACCAGAAGAGGGCATCAGATCCCTGGGGGCAGCCTGAGGTCAGTGCTTCCTCTGGAAGAGCAGCACTGTCTCTCTAGCCCCTGCTCCGGCTCCTTATAAAGATGACATAGAGGTGGCTAAGGCTCAGGAAGGTCAGTGAGTTGAGAGAAAAATGAGTATGATCAAAACGCATGATGCAGGGATATGAATCTGGAGCTAGGTACAATGTTTATTCCTCAATTTAAAAAAAAAAAAGGCTACTGAGTTGCCTAAACTAATTGTGACAAGTTAAAGACCATGCCCCCTCTCTCTTACACACACACACACACACACACACACACACACACACACACACAGAGAGAGAGAGAGAGAGAGAGAGAGAGAGAGAGAGAGAGAGAGAGAAAGAGAGAGAGAGAGAGAGGTCTTTGAAATAGTCTCACCCTTTCACAGATAGCCTAGAGGGTACAGTCCCATAGAGGCCAGCCCTGCGGCTCTCCAGGGCTTTCCCACTATATTCTTACTGGACTTGAATCCCCCAGCAGGAGGTACTCTTTGGGTAACCTAAAGCACTCTTGGAAGGTTCCCCCCCCCCCACGCTTAGTTTTATAGCTTTTGATCTCTGGTGGATACTCCAGGTGCCTACCTGGCCTCCTACCCCACCCCACCCCCTTACTTCCTTACAGGAAGGACTTTGAGTTAAATGCACTCAATGCCAGAATTGAGGATGAGCAGGCCTTGGGCAGCCAGCTGCAGAAGAAGCTCAAAGAGCTTCAGGTAAGGTGGGGGACTCCAGCTGTGTGGGCAGTGCCTGGCTGGTTCTCAGCTTCCCTGGATCTCCTCCAGCCTATGCTATTCCTGAATCACAGGAGCTGTGTGTCCATGAAAGGGGACAAAATGCACAAGTCTCCCCATGGGATTCCCATAGGAGGGGCTTACAGATCTGAAGAAGAGAGCCTGGGGAGAAACAGCTCTGAGGGCAGTCCTCCTGACTTTATGTCTTAGCTCTGGCTAGTCACGTGATCATAGAATTCTACTGCAGACCTCCAGGTCTCGAGGCCCACCCTGTCACCTGGTGACGTTTAAGATCCCTGCATCCTTTATGGTTCTTTCCTCTATAGCACGCGTTGAGTTAGAACTTCAGTATTTTATCAAGCAGGTATGATTTTCTCAGCTAGACTTTTGCTATTTTCTTGCCACTAAACTACTTGGAAAAACGCATGAGACACAAATTTCTTTGTCCTTCTCCAAGAGATGTTTTCTTCTAATAAACATAATATGCAACTCTAAAGCATAAAGGAAAGCTGACTGGGCCGTGCAAGACACCTTCCTCCCGGGGCTGGAGAGATGGCTCAGTGGTTAAGAGCACTGACTGCTCTTCCAGAGGACCCGGGTTCAATTCCCAGCACCCACAAGGCAGCTCACAACTGTCTAAAGGTTCAGTTGCAGGGGATCTGACACCTTCACACCAATGCACATAAAATAAAGTTAAATAAACCATTAAAAAAAGACACCTTCCTCCCAATCCTTCTAAGTCTACCTCTCCAGTAATATAGCAAACTCACTTGGTGTTCTACATGGGATCCTTTAGAACCCTGGGGTGGGGGACATCAGGAGGCCCTCAGTGGAGGGGTCCAGGAAGCCGGTCTGAACCTCCGTGTCCCTGACTAGGCACGCATCGAAGAGCTGGAGGAGGAACTGGAGGCCGAGCGCACAGCCAGGGCCAAGGTAGAGAAGCTGCGCTCGGACCTGTCCCGTGAACTGGAGGAGATCAGTGAGCGGCTGGAGGAGGCCGGTGGGGCCACATCTGTGCAGATAGAGATGAACAAGAAGCGGGAGGCTGAGTTCCAGAAGATGCGGAGGGACCTGGAGGAGGCCACCCTGCAGCACGAGGCCACAGCTGCAGCCCTGCGCAAGAAGCACGCGGACAGCGTGGCTGAGCTGGGGGAGCAGATCGACAACCTGCAGCGTGTGAAGCAGAAGCTGGAGAAGGAGAAGAGCGAGTTCAAGCTGGAGCTGGATGATGTCACCTCCAACATGGAGCAGATCATCAAGGCCAAGGTGGGCCCTCTCAGCTGTCCCCCTCCCCTGGTTCCCTCCATCGGCCTCCAGTTGCTTTGTCTTCCTCCGTCGCTCTTTTTCCTCCTTCCTTCCCCTAAGTTGTCCACGGATCCCTCTCCATTTCTTCTTTAACTGTAGCCTTACTCCATTTCGCTCCCTTCCTGCACCTACTGTGGAACTCTTGCCCCTCTCAGGCTAACCTCGAGAAGATGTGCCGGACCTTGGAAGACCAGATGAATGAGCACCGGAGCAAGGCTGAGGAGACTCAGCGTTCCGTCACCGACCTCACCAGCCAGCGGGCCAAGCTGCAGACAGAGAACGGTGAGACGGGGGCTGGAGCTCCATGACCCACCCCAACCTTGGGTGCACATGCCCCTCACGTGCCCGCGATGTCTCCAGAGCATGGGACCTACAGTTGAGGGTGGGGAGGGGGTTGAAGATACCTCGGTGCCTCCCCAGGGGAGCTGTCCAGGCAGCTGGATGAGAAGGAGGCGCTGATTTCCCAGCTGACTCGAGGCAAGCTCACCTATACCCAGCAACTGGAGGATCTCAAGAGGCAGCTGGAGGAAGAGGTCAAGGTGAGGCCTGAACTCTACCTGACCCAAGCATACAGTTCCCCAAATGCCCTTGAGTCTGCACCTCTTTCTTCCCTAAGAGAGAGGCTTATCTGGTCCACAAGTCTCTATAAATTATAAAAAGAAATAATAGCCCAGCCTTTCCTAAGTGTCCTTTAAATCTGTTCCCCAGACTGAGAGGTACCCTTTGGGGTGCCGTGCTGGGGTGGGGTATGGGGTGAAGAGGCACGAGGGAGTAATCTAAGGCAGTGGTTTTCAACCTGTGGATCACAGCTCCTTTGGGGGTCAAAGGACCTTTCCACTGGGGTTGCATATCAGATATTTATGTTACAGTCATAACAGTAGCAAAATCACAGTTCTGAAGCAGGAAAAATAATTTTATGGTTGGGGTCACCACAACATGAGGAACTATATTAAAGGATCACAGCATTAGGAAGGTTGAGAATCACTGATCTAAGGAGACAGGTTTTGGCCTTCTTGGATGCAGATATAGGGTGCGGGGCCTGCACAAAAGGGTCCTCGGCTTATGAGAGCAATCTGAAGACTGGAAAAGGAAGTAAGCTGGAGTCTTTGCCTAGCACAGCACTGTTGGTGAGAGAGAGAGAGAGACAAGAGCGTGAGTTCCCAAATATGCCAGGGCCAGAGCCGCAGCCTAGTCAGTAAAGTACTCGCCACATAAATATGGACATGGTTGGGCCTGAATTCAGTCCCCAACACCTATGTAAAAAGCTGGGCATGGCGCCACACTTGTAATCCCAGCACTGAGGAGGCAGAGACAGGGACAGTTCTAGGAGGCTTCCTAGAACTGACTGCCCGCCAGTCCAGTCAAATTGGTGATCCTTGGGTCTCAGTGACCGACTTTGTCTCAAAAACTATGGTGGACAGTGTCTGAAATGACACCCAAGGTTGACTTTGGGCTACCATATTCTTGCAGAAACACCCAACATCCTCCCCACAAAACCCCACATCCCTACTGATGTACCTCTTATAGTGTGGTGATCGTACAAATATCCTGATGTCCCTGGGTGTCCCTGTAAAGGCAATGGATAACAAGACCTGCTACATGGAGCACTGGGCAACAGGCACAGGAGCACTGGGCAGTGGGCACAGGAGCACTGGGCAGCGGGCACAGGAGCACTGGGAGACGGGCACAAGAGCTTCCTCTGTAAACAGGGCAGCAGTGCTTTACTCTATAGGATCATTCTAGCTCAGGAAGCCACTCCAGGTTCACCGAAGACTTGGAAGTAGATGTGGCCAAGGGAGCATGTTGAGTCTGCGGTAAAGGTATGCCAGGGGTAACTTTATGGAAAAAGTTGATCCACTCCCTTGATGCCCACCTCTTCCCAGGCCAAGAACGCCCTGGCCCACGCCCTGCAGTCAGCCCGGCATGACTGTGACCTGCTGCGGGAACAGTATGAGGAGGAGACAGAAGCCAAGGCTGAGCTACAGCGTGTCCTGTCCAAGGCCAACTCAGAGGTGGCCCAGTGGAGGACCAAGTATGAGACGGACGCCATCCAGAGGACGGAGGAGCTGGAGGAAGCCAAGTGAGTCCTGGGCAGCCAGCCCTGGCTGATGCTCAGTAGGCCCCACATAGGGGACTCTTAGCATGTGGCTGTGCAGGAGGGCCCGGCCCCAGCCCCACCTCCTGCTCCTCTCAGGGAAGCTTTTTGCTCGCGTTATGTTTCTCATCCGAATATAAGACGAACAAAAGGTTTGTCTGAGGGCTGAGTGCTCCCACCTGGGGTAGGGTGCTGTAGGGAAGGCGGCAGCAGCCAAGAATGCAGTCTTCACAGGTGTCTAAGTCTTCATGTTCAGCTACCAAGATCTGCCTGCTAAGTGCTCAACCTGTCCTCGGGCTTTTCTGAATGCTTCTGCGTTGTCAAGGAGAGTCTTTTGGAAGGCTCACATGTTCTTCTCTTGTCCAAATCTACCTCCTCCATTTTCCCCATCCCTTTCTACCCTGCCACCCCTTCCTACTTCCCCTGGACAGGAAGAAGCTGGCCCAGAGGCTTCAGGACGCAGAGGAGGCAGTGGAGGCCGTCAACGCCAAGTGCTCCTCCCTGGAGAAGACCAAGCACAGGCTGCAGAATGAGATCGAGGACCTGATGGTGGATGTGGAACGCTCCAATGCCGCCGCCGCAGCCCTGGACAAGAAGCAGAGGAACTTCGACAAGGTAGGCTCACGGCGGGGCTGCGGGCAGCGCAGCGTGCATGTGCGCGGGGCTGGTGGGGGCAGTGCCAGCTCAAGGCCAGAGCATTCTCCTTGGAGGCAGGGGAGGGGCCTGGGGCAGCTCTGGACAGCTTGCCCCTGCCCTGCAGATCCTGGCAGAGTGGAAGCAGAAGTATGAGGAGTCCCAGTCAGAGCTGGAGTCGTCCCAGAAGGAGGCGCGCTCCCTGAGCACAGAGCTGTTCAAACTCAAGAATGCCTACGAGGAGTCCCTGGAGCACCTGGAGACCTTCAAGAGGGAGAACAAGAACCTCCAGGGTGTGTGGCCGAGGGGCGGGAAGGGCCACGTCCCCATGCCTGAGGACCCCAAATGCAGTCCAGACAAAGAAACATGACCAGCCCTACTGAGACCACAGAGATTCCAGTCTGAGTTGCTACATATCCCCCACAGAGGAGATCTCGGACCTGACTGAGCAGCTGGGCTCCACTGGCAAGAGCATTCATGAGCTGGAGAAGATCCGCAAGCAGCTGGAGGCTGAGAAGATGGAGCTGCAGTCGGCCCTGGAGGAGGCTGAGGTGGGCGTGCAGGGGAGAGCAGGGCTGGGGTGCAGGATGGGATCTAGACTTTGGTCCCTGTTCCTATTTTCTCTCAGCCTATTTTCCTCCTCCCCTGCTCGTTGCCAGGGCCTTGGCCAGTGCTGGACAACACACCCAGCACCCGGCAAACATTTGTCAATGAACGAGTTGAGGGTCACCGAAATCCCTTCATGCAAACATTTTATTTACTGCGTCTCTGAGGCATTCCTCTTTCCCTCAGCCCCTTTCCACCTCTGCCTGCCTGTGTTTTTTTTTTATACTCCGCGCTTGATTGCTTCTGTTTCCTTGGCAACACTTTTCATTTTCTTCTTTTGTCTTCCAATCTGGCTCTCCCTGCTGGGAGTCGGCCTCACCTTTTCTTCAGATTGCTTTCATTTTTCTTATGTACACCCTCTCTTCCTTCCTCTGCACCTGACTGCAGAGCCATGAACACTATTCCTGAACTCTCTCTGTATCATGGTTGTTAAACAGACTCCCACGTCTGCCCTGGACACTGACTATATGCCTGCCAACCCTTTTCCCCCACACCCTTTCCAGGCCTCCCTGGAGCACGAGGAGGGCAAGATCCTCCGCGCCCAGCTTGAATTCAACCAGATCAAGGCAGAGATCGAACGGAAACTGGCAGAGAAGGATGAGGAGATGGAGCAGGCCAAGCGCAACCACCTACGGGTGGTGGACTCCCTGCAGACCTCCCTGGATGCAGAGACGCGCAGCCGCAACGAGGCCCTGCGGGTGAAGAAGAAGATGGAGGGCGACCTCAATGAGATGGAGATCCAGCTCAGTCATGCCAACCGCATGGCTGCCGAGGCCCAGAAACAAGTGAAGAGCCTCCAGAGTTTGCTGAAGGTACCCAGAGACTTCCATAAACAGGGTGTCACCTCACCCAGAGAGGGAACTAATTGGATGGCAGAGCACTAGCTCTCTCTCATCACACAGTCATTGTAGAGCTACCTGACAAGTCAACCCTGAGCCACCACAATGGACTTTCTACCCACATCCAATTCTACGTGACAGCCTCGTGAAGGCCAGCCTTCTATCTTATGTTCACTTTGTTGATCCTCAGGACACTCAGATCCAGCTGGACGATGCCGTCCGTGCCAACGACGACCTGAAGGAAAACATTGCCATCGTGGAGCGGCGCAACAACCTGCTGCAGGCCGAGCTGGAGGAGTTGCGGGCTGTGGTGGAGCAGACAGAGCGGTCTCGGAAGCTGGCGGAGCAGGAGCTGATTGAGACCAGCGAGCGGGTGCAGTTGCTGCACTCCCAGGTGAGGAGGTGCCCTGTGCATTCCTGAGCTCGGCGGTGACAGGGGAAGGAGCAGGGGAAGGAGCCCCTCAGAGATGCCCAGGTGAGGAGGTGCCCTGTGCATTTCTGAGCTCAGCGGGTGACAGGGGAAGGAGCCCCTCAGAGATGCCCAGAGTGTTTCCTACTCTGCCATTCTCATCCCAGAACACCAGCCTCATCAACCAGAAGAAGAAGATGGAGTCAGACCTGTCCCAGCTCCAGACTGAGGTGGAAGAGGCAGTGCAGGAGTGTAGGAACGCAGAGGAGAAGGCCAAGAAGGCCATCACAGACGTGAGTCCTCTGCCCTGCCTACCCACCCCAGGCCAGCATCTCCCCAGCCTGCTCAGTGAGCCCATGAGGACCCGAACAGACCACGTGTCCCCGCTCCTGTGCACAGGCCGCCATGATGGCGGAGGAGCTGAAGAAGGAGCAGGACACCAGCGCCCACCTGGAGCGCATGAAGAAGAACATGGAGCAGACCATCAAGGACCTGCAGCACCGGCTGGACGAAGCCGAGCAGATCGCTCTCAAGGGTGGCAAGAAGCAGCTGCAGAAGCTGGAGGCCCGGGTCCGGGAGCTGGAGAACGAACTGGAGGCTGAGCAGAAGCGCAATGCAGAGTCGGTGAAGGGCATGAGGAAGAGCGAGCGGCGCATCAAGGAGCTCACCT